AATAAAAAGAAAATTCAGAAAATATGAAGTTATCACAGAGGCCGTTACTGTTGATTTGTGGTACATTTCCTTCCCATCTTTTTTCTGTTCAAGGTGGTGGTAGGGTGGATATGTGTGCCAAATCATGTGATCGCGTTGCACTAAACATAGAATTTGGTATTGCTTTTTAAACTTAACATATTTTTCCCATTTATTAAAAGTACTTTCTAGAAGTACTTTCATGCCTGCATAATATTTAAGGTCTGGAAGTGCCAGCCCCCTAGGGTACCATTTGCTGTGATAAATAGCAACATCGTCGGGAACTGGGAAGCATTGCCCTCTACATCAGTCAGTGATGTCTCTGACTGGCTGTTTGTACTGCATTCTGAGGCTGCATAGTAAAAGGGCAATGGACTGTTTATTCATTTGGGTTTTGCCTGCTTCTGTCTTCCATACCTTCACCAGTCCCAAGGCTATGTGAAGAACTGAGCCAAGTTGTTTGTTTTGTAGAGTTTAGGGCTTGGGGGTGATCCTGAGTCAGGAGTGGGTTCCAGGCATTTGGATTTGAATTGTCTGATGCTTAAGGGGCTGTGGTCCTCTGGGCTGCTACTGTGGTCCCAAGTAACTAGATTATCTCTGCTTTCAGCCCAGCTCCTGTGGAGATGCTAAACCTGAAGCTCCGCCGGCCATCATTCGGTGATGATGTTGACCTCGATGCTTCCTTCAATGTGGATACCCCCCAAACCCAGCCCTCCAACTCCCAGCATGGCCACTCCAAAAGGCTATGCCTTGAGAAGGCACAGTGAGTGGTAGTCCCTGGCAGTGTACATGACTTGGAGAAAGAACTGAGACATCTCTTCAGATCTTGCCCTGATAGCTCTGAATGGCTGATGGCACAGTGGGGCTGCCTATGCTTTGCTATGGCTTTGGTTCCAGCCACCTTTTCTTCCCTGGCCTGAGCACTCACTGTGCAAAGCCCTTTTCTTGCTCATCTTGTTAATCCTTATCATCATCCTTCAAGGTAAAGTATTGGAATATGAATTAGAGAGGATGCAGGGGTCCCAGAAAGGCAGGTCTGGACTGGTGGAGTTGGGGTGAGTGCTCCCAATAACTCCCAATGCCTGCCTACCAGACTCTTGAGCAAAAGATTCTCAACTTCCTCTTCCATTGTGTGCATTTAAGGCTTGAGATGAGACCATCTAAAACTATGAGGTCCAGGACCCCATGCCCCAAGGKAGTAGTCTAGAGGGGCAGGCATGAAGAGCTGTGTGAAGCCATGTTCTATTCTGCCCCAGACTCTTTCTGCACAGATTCTTTAGGGAATCTCTTCTGAAAGAACTTCATGGGCTATCTTACTGAAGGTTTTTCTGAAAGGCTAACTTGTGAAGGGTCTCATGGAAGTAATGCCCCCATCTCTGGGAAGATAGGAATAGGCCTGATTACAAGCTTTCCGCCTATATAAGGGCATGACTAGACTTCCTCCCTGAGTGGTGAATTGGTTGGGCTCCACAGCTTCATGTAGAGCTTGGAATATGGTGAGGTGCCCAAGTACTTGGGAAACATTGGAATGAATTCACAATATTGGGACAGGTCCAATCTACCTTGACTCTGCCTCTTTTGTCTGTTCAGTTGTTCATAGACCTGCACTTGGGGTGGAGACCACTGAGGTACCTCACCCAGAACACAGCCTAACAGCAGCTGTGCTACATGGTAACTTCTTTTAGGGGCATATGCTGAGCTTGGTCCTCATGTTTTGCTAACCTGCCCCCTGCCTTCATGTCTCACTCTTGTAGCTCTCCTGTTCAGGACATTCTCAAGAAGATGCCCAGAGTTCCCAAGCAGGTAAGGGCTTCCCAAACGAAGTATGGGATTCACTACTTATCAGGGATGGGTATACAAGCTGAACTTCTGGAAAAACAGTCTTATCAGAGCTTTCTCTCCTGGCCTAGCACTGAGACACTTCAGAGTCATCATTGGGACCCTACTCATTATCCTCTCTGCCTCCTGTTGAGGWGTCAGAGGATCTCAATCTTATCTACCACCACTACCCTCCCTCCTTTGCTGCCATCTGGCTCTTTAAATCTGGCTCTGGGGTTTCCCCTGCAGAAGTCTCAGCTCTCTTTGGGTGGCCAGCACTGTGCAAGAGAGCCAGATGAGGACCTGGCTGGTGCCTTCCCTGTCTTTATCCGGAATGCTGTTCTAGGCCAGAAACAGCCAAAGAGGGCCATAGCAGAGTCCTGTCGCAGCACAGACGTGGTAAGTTTGAAGTGGTTGGTACCAGTTGCCTTAGGGTTGGGGCAAGATTTAGCCAGCCTCTTAGCCCATTAGAATATCCTACTCATCTCTTCTTTCTGCCCTAGGTAAGAACAGGTTTTGATGGCCTTGGAGGCCGGACAAAATTCATACAGCCTGTATCCTTGTTCTGTAGCAATGGGCTATGCTAAGCTATAGAGCTCATACTATGTCTCACCTGTACCCCCAGACTACCAGTGTCTGTCGCTTCAGGTGTGCAAAGCTGAGCCTTGCTCAGTGTAGCAGGACTGCCTACCATCAGATCTGAGCTTTTCCTGCCCTGCATTCCAGTCCCTTTTCCAGGCCTCTTCCTTGACATCTCCTCCAGACTAACACAGCCATGATTCGCCCACTGCCTGTTAAGCCCAAGACGAAGGCTAAGCAGAGAGTGAGGGTGAGGACTATAAACCCTTCCTCCCAGGCCAAGTTGGATACCTTCCTGTGGCAATGAGAACAGTGAATCTGAGGAGTGGCCAGACATGCCTTCAACTAGAAGATTGGCCAGCAGTGTTTAGAGGGATGGCCCCTCTTCCAGGACAAGCCCTGGGCAGAAAGCAGATGAATGGTAGAGTGACAGAGATTGTGCACTTCCTTTGTCCATCTTGCCCTGTTCTGTCATGTAGAGCTGACACTACCAGCTTACCGTTTCCATCAGCAAGTGCCTGCTCCTGGTTGCAGCCTCTTGTTTAGAGCCACAATCTAATGTGGCCAGGTTCTTTCTGGTCCTGGAAACCAGGATCACTTGTTGACTGTATGCATAAAAGTGCTTGAGATTTTCTCAGCCTGAGTCTGAGCTTCTGCCTGCCTCCCTCACTGCTGGGCATGGCCTGATCCCGACATGGCCTGGTCCAAGCACGGTGGGGGGTAGGGAATGGGGAATGATGGAGTGGGGAGGACAGGGAAAGATTTCCATGTAAAATAAAAAATAATTTTTTTCTGGCTCTCGGAATATAAATTTACACCTGGAAAAACTGGCATAGTTTTCTAAAGCAGGAACATCTTTTAGCCACCGACCCAGCCATTTCATTCCTGGGTATGTGCCTTCTAAAGGGCACAGAGAGACTATAGCAAAATGAGATCACTGCAGCTTTGTCCACATTCTGTAACTTGGGAAAAGCCCAAAAGCCATAAGTTAGAACATGAATGGGTAAACCAAAGTCTGTCCCTAAAGGGAACTCAAAACAAGCACAACAAATAACTGGTGACCAAATTGCTAACCTTTGGGTCATTCAAGGACTTTTTTTTTTTTTGTACTGGGAATTGAATTGAGGGGCACTCAACCACTGAGCCACGTCCCCAGCCCTATTTTGTATTTTATTGAGAGACAGGGTCTCACTAAGTTGCTTAATACCTTGTTTTTGCTGAGGCTGGCTTTGAACTCACAATCTTCCTGCCTCTGGAGCTGCTGGAATTACAGGCATGCGCCACTGTGCCTGGCATTCGAGGACATTTCTTTCTTTTATATATATATATATATTTTTTTTTTTTTTTTTTTTTTTTTAGTTGTAGTTAGAAACAGTATTTTATTTATTTGTTTTTATGTGGTGCTGAGGATCAAACCCAGTGCCTCGCACATGCTAGGTGAGCGCTTTACGGCTGAGTCACACCCCCAGCCCCCAAGGGCATTTTCTGTAGTGGCCCTAGCCTGGCTGAGGCCCTGTTCTGGGTGAGGCCCCCTAAACTTCCTTCTCCCACTATTACCTCAGCAGCTTGACACCAAATCTGAAGGAGCATGAGGCTTTATGGAGGGATGTGTGATGCCCTTGATTTTTGGGTGTTGGACATGTCTGGGACTGACATGAGCCAGGAATTTTAGGGAGGGGAAGTGCAGCATCTTGTTGAAAAGAGTAGAGGCTGGCTACTAGCACCCTTTTTACCTACTGAGTGATCTTAGAATTAACTAGCCTTCTGTGCTCAGTTTAATCTATAAGGTTGGGATAACAGTGCCAACTATTGGGGATCTGATGAGTCAGGAAATAGAATAAATGTGTGTGTGTATATATGTTTTGGTACTAGGGATTGAACCCACGGGGGCCTAACCACTAAGCCACATTCCCAGCATGCCCCCACCCCCACCCCCACCCCCGCCCTTTTTGAGATAGGGTCTTTCTAAGTTGCTTAGGGCCTTGCTAAATTGCCGAGGCTGGCTCTGAACTTATGATCATCCTGCCTCAGTCTCCTGTGCCACTGGGATTATAAGAGTACACCACTGCACCTGGCTAGATTAAGTATTTATAATAACTAAATGAAATAAGTCAGATAAAAAAGAACAACTACTTGGGGCTGGGATTGTGGCTCAGCAGTAGAGCACTCATCTAGGATGTGCAAAGCCCTGGGTTCGATCCTCACCACCACATAACAATAAATAAAAAAAGAATTTTGTGTTTGGGCTGGGGATGTGGCTCAAGCAGTAGCGCGCTTGCCTGGCATGCGTGCGGCCCGGGTTTGATCCTCAGCACCACATATAAACAAAGATGCTGTGTCCGCTGAAAAACTAAAACTAAATAAATATTAAAAAATTCTCCCCCCCACCAAAAAAAAAAAAAGAATTGTGTCCAACCAGAAGTAAAGAAAAACAACAACTACTACTGTATGATTCCACTTATATGAAGTAGTTAGAATAGGTAAGTTTATAGAGACAGAAATAAAATAGAGGCTGCCAGGAGCTAAAAGGAAGGGAAATACTGCTTAATGATCAGAGTTTCTATTTGGGATGATGAAAAATAGGCATAATGGTTACCTCCCTCCCCGCCAAAAAAAGACTTGTGAAAGACCTAAACACATGAAAAGACATCTGTATTTGTGAGTTAGTTAGCAGTATTAAGATGGCAATACTCCCCCAAAGCAATCTACATATTCAATATAATTCTTTTTTTTTTTTTTCAAAGAGAGAGAGAGAGAATTTTAATTTTTTTTTTTAGCTTTCGGCGGACACAACAATTTTGTTTGTATGYGGTGCTGAGGATCGAACCCGGGCCGCACGCATGCCAGGCGAGCGCACTACCGCTTGAGCCACATCCCCAGCCCCCTCAATATAATTCTTATCAAAATTTCAATGGCTTTGTTTTACAGAAATGGAAAAGCTGATCTTCAAATTCATATGAATTAAAAGAGGTCCTAAATAGCCAAGAGGATTTTAAAAAGAAAAGTATCTTCCCAAATTAATAAACTTACTACATCCACACATGGCAGTCACACACCTGTAATCCCAGCTATTTGAGGCTAAGGAAGGAGGATCACAAATTGTGAGGCTAGCCTCAACAATTTAGCAAGATCGTGTCTCAAAACAAAAGATTTTTAAAAGGGCCAGATGTAGCTCAGTGTTAGAATGCCCTTGGGTTCAATCCCCAATACTAGAAGAAAAAAAAAATACTATAAAGCTCTAGTAATCCAAACACTATGGAATGAAATCATATATAGCAGTGGAGTCAGAAGCTCTAGGGGTCAGTCCTTTGATGAAAGCAACCATTGAGCTGGAAAAAAGCAATTGTATCCAACTATCCCAGAACTCTAGACTCTGATCAAACATTTAACAACGGGGTACTGGGTGAAGTGACAGAATGCTATTCTTTGTAAGAGTGTGAGTCAAGCAGCTACCATCTCCATTCCTCAGCTCTACCATGGTTGTGGGATAGCAGTCCTAGTTCCTAAAGCAACTGGCTGATACTAGGCAGGCAGGGGAGACCTTATCTTTTCAAAATTTGGGTTGTGCACTTTGGTGGGCCTGGTAGTACCCTGAGATGTTATCTTAGTTTTCCTGTCTGCCCCTGCCCTCCATATCTCAGAATTTTGCCAGTTCCTTTTTTTTTTTTTTTTTTGGTAAGTCTTTGTTAGGTCACTAGTTGACTGCAGTGATATCATGAACTTCAGTGACCACACACAACAAGAAGAACAAAAATAGTTTGTAGGGGCTGGTTTGTACCTCAGCGGTGGAGCTCTTGCCTTTGCATGTGTGAGGCACTGGGTTTGATTCTCAGCACCACATATAAATAAATAAATAAAGGTCTATTGACAATTAAAAATATATATATATATATATTTTTTTAATAGTTTGTAGAAGTCACAGATGGCTCTAGCCCTTAACAAGAAACATTTAGCAATCTGAGGGGAAAGAAAAATATAATTTCCAGAGTTAACACAGTATAATACTCAGAATATCCAGTTCTTTTTTTTTTTCCTTCATGATCGATAAGCCACTATTCAGAATATCCAGTTCTTAACAACAACAACAAAAAGTTATAATGTATATGATGAAACAGGAATGTACAGTCCATTCACAAGAAAAAAAAAAAGTTTAACCAAAACTATCCTTGACAAAAGGGTAAAATAAAATATCTGAAGTGAAAAATACATTAGAGTCACAAAAGGTAGTTGCTTTCTTATATACTGCAGCAAACAATGGGAATTTGAACTTAAAAGTAATACCATTATGCTCAACTATTTCAACAGAGGGATGGATTACTGGAACTTTATAGTCCTTCATTTGTCTTGGCATGACTTTCAAACAACACAACCTTAAACAATCAATGGGTCAAAGAAGAAATTATAGAATACCTTCAGATGAATGAAAATAATACACCAAAATTTGTAGCATGCAATAAAAGATGTGCTTAGAGAGAAAATTATAGCTATAAAACCTTAAATTAAAAGAAAGATCTTGGGCTGGAGCTATAGCTCAGTAGTAGAGCACTTGCCTGGCATGTGGGAGGTACTGGGTTCGATCCTTATCACCACATAAAAATAAATAAATAAAGGTATTGTGTCCATCTACAACTAAAAATATTTTTTAAAAAAATCTGGTTGGGCATGGGAGCACACGCCTGTAATCCCAGCAGCTCAGAAGTCTGAGGCAGGAGGATTACAAATTCAAAACCATCCTCAGCAATGGCAAGGTGCTAAACTCAGTGAGACTCTGTCTTTAAATAAAATACAAAATAGGGCTGAGGATGTGGCTTAGTGGTCAAGTGCCCCTGAATTCAATCCCTGGTACTTCCCAAAATAAAATAACTAGCATTGAATAAGAGTTCAGCATTTGGTGTTGTCAATGTTTTGGATTTAAGCAATTGTAATAGGTATATTACAATTACAAATGAATAAATCTGAATAGAAGTTTAACTAGTAAGTGTATTGAATCAGTAATCAAGTCTCCCAAAAAAGAAAGTCCAGGACTACATGACTTCATTCTATCATACATTTTAAAAAGAATACCATTCTGTTCAAACTCTTCCAAAAACTCAAGAAAACACTTCTAAACCAATTTTATGAGGCAACATTGCCCCAACAGCAAGATCAGAAAACTGTAAGCCAATATGCCTTCAAAATATGAATACAGAAATCCTCAACAAAATATTAGCAACTAAATCCAGTAGCACATGAAGATTTTACACCAAGACCAAGAGGATTCTATCAGAATTCAAAGGTTGGGGGCTGGGGATGTGGCTCAAGCGGTAGCGCGCTTGCCTGGCATGCGTGTGGCCTCAGCACCACATACCAACAAAGATGTTGTGTCCGCCGAGAACTAAAAAATAAATATTAAAAATTCTCTCTCTCTCCTCTCTCACTCTCTCTTTAAAAAAAAAAGAATTCAAAGGTGTTTCAACATAAGAAAAAAAGTGTCATTAGTAAAATAAAGGAAAAATAGAATCATCTCAACTGACACAGAAAGGCATTTGACAAGTTCAACACCATTTCATGGTTAAAAATTATATATATATTAAGAATTGGAAGAGGAATTCTGAATTTGGAAAAGTCAAATTGGAAAAACCCATAACTAACATCATATGTGATGCTAAAAAACTGAAACCTTTTCCCTAAGATCAAGAAATCAAGAATAAGGAGCCAGCTATGGTGATGCACAYCTGTAATCCAACTAATTCAGGAGACTGTGGCAGAAGGATTGCAAACTTAAAGCAGCCTCAGCAACTTAGCGAGGTCCTAAACAACTTAGTAAGACCCTACAAAAATAAATAAATAAGAAGGGCTGGGGATGTAGCTCAGTTGAATGGCTCTTGGATTCAATCCCCAGTACCCCCACAAAAAAATCCAATCTTCCAATCTATTTGAATTGGAGAAACAATAGTAATATTATATCTATTTGCATATGATATAATCTTAAATGTAGAAAAACCCTAAAGAAAGTCACAGAAAAAAGTTAAGTGTTAATGAATTTAGCAAAGTTGCAGTATACAAAATTAACAATTCTGTTGCATTGGGCTGGGGTTGTGGCTTGATGGTAGAGCGCTTGCCTAACATGCATAAGGCACTGAGTTTTATCTCCATCACCACATTAAAAAAACTAAATAAAATAAAGGTATAAAAATATCCAGTTGCATTTTTATAGACTAATGAAAGATCTGAAAGGAAATTCAGGAATCCATTTACATTAGCATCAAAAAGAATGAAATATTTTGTCATGAATTTAACCAAAAAAGTGACTTTTATACAGTATACAAAGACTGAAAACTCCAAAACACTACTGAAAAAAAGTTAAAGAGAAAAAAAAAATTGGAAAGATATCACATGTGCATGAATCTGAAGACTTAATTGCCAGGTTTCTGTTCTCACAACTAAAAGGCTCAGGGGTCACTCCAGTTAAACTGGGCTGTGCAAAATAACCACACAAGAGACACAAATACCTTTTTGTTTGGGGTTGCTGTGACGGCTCCTCTGACCTTAAGGGTCCGCAGGAAGAGACAGAGCGAGAACATGCTGACCCCTTTTATTGAGGAGAAGCTAGTCAAATGAGGCAAAGGGTCAGGTTTCAGGGGGCTGAATCTATCTTCATGATGTCCACTGTCAGCAGGTTGACTGACACCTGGGTAGGCCACACTCAAGAGCACAGTAAGAGATGGGGACACACACCACGCACTTCCAAGGAAGATTCTATCCTAAACAGGGCAAGAGATTATATTACAAAGGAACAGGTGAGCATAGCTTCACCCATGGGGCTATAGCAAGACACACCCATGCACAAGACACAGACCCTCAAACCCAAGAAGGGTGGGGAAAGCCCTGCCACATTTCTGTGACTGAGCGCCTCAGCACCCAGCCGGGRAGTGTGACCCACTCACGTTCAAGGTTGGTCTCACTTAATATTTAGATGATTATAAGAAAAAGTGATCTATAGACAGAATGTAATCACTATCAAAACCAATGTTGTTTTAAAATTTTTCCACTTAAAAAAAAATTATTTGGGCTGGGGATGTGGCTCAAGCGGTAGCGCACTCGCCTGGCATGCGTATGGCCCGGGTTCGATTCTCAGCACCACATACAAACAAAGATGTTGTGTCCGCCAAAACCTAAAAAAATAAATATTAAAAACTCTCTCTCTCTCAAAAAAAAAAATATTTTGGGCTGGGGATGTGGCTCAAGCGGTAGCGCGCTCGCCTGGCATGCGTGCGGCCCAGGTTCAATCCTCAGCACCACTTACAAAGATGTTGTGTCTGCCGAAAACTAAAAAATAAATATTAAAAATTCATTCTCGCTCTCTCTCTCTGTCTCTCTCTCTCTTAAAAAAAAATGTTCAGGGCTTATGGGCCACATCACATCTTTGAAAAAAAAAAAGAAACAAATGCTGAAATACAGATGTAATAATAAAAACAAAGAATGATCACAGCAGCATTATTTATAGTGGACAAGAGGTGAAAACTACTCAAATGTTCATCTACAGATGAATGGACAAACATTATGTGATATACAGATGCAATGGAATATTATCCAGCCATGAAAAGAAATGAAATACTGATATAGGGTACAACTTGGATGAACCTAAAAAAATTATGCTAAATGAAGGGAAGCAGACATAAAAAGTTATATTTTGGGGGGAGGGTACTGGACGATTTAACCCAGGACAATTTAACTCAGGTACCACTGAGCTACATCCCTAGCCCTGTTTTTGTTTTTTTTAAGTTGTCAGTAAACCTTTTATTTATTTATTTATTTGTTTATATGTGGTGCTAAGAATTGAACCCAGGGCCTCACACATGCTAGGCAAGTGCTCGACCACTAAGCTACAACCCTAGCCCTCCCTAGCCCTTTTTATTTTTCTATTTATTTATTTATTTATTTTGGTACCAGGGACGGAACCCAGAGGTGCTTAACCACTGAGTCACACCCTCAGCCCTTTTTATTTTGTTATTTTTGAGACAGGGTCTCACTAAGTTGCTTAGCCTTGCTCAATTGCTGAGCCTGGCCTTGAATTTGAGATTCTCCTGTCTCAGCCTTCCAAGTAACTGGATTACAGATATGCGCCTCTGCGCTCGGCATTTTTTATGATTCCTTTTATAAGAAATATCCCAAATAGGCAGACCCCTAGAAACAGAAAGCATAATAACAGAAAGCATAATAGTGTTTGCTAGAGGATCACAGTGGGAGTGGAGGGAAAGAGTGGTAATTACTTAATGTGTTTGGGATGATGAAAAACCTTGAAGCTAAAGAAAGGTATAGGTTGCATGATATTGTGGGTGCACTCAATGCCACCTAATTATATGCTTTAAAATAGTTGGTTAATTTTTTTTCTGGTAATCTTAGGGATTGAACCCAGGGACCTTATGCATGCTAGGCACTGAGCTATACCCCTAGCCCCTAAAATAGTTAATTTTCATATACAAATTTCACCTCAATTTTTTGTTGTTTTTGTTTTTGTATTGGAGACTGAACTCAGGGATGCTCTATCACTGAAATAAATCCCCATCCCTTTTTATTTATTTATTTWTTTTAATTTTGAAACAGATAGTATCTTGCTAAGTTGCTGAGGCTGGCCTTCAACTTTCAATCCTCCTGCCTCAACTACCAAGACACTGGAATTACAAGCATGTACTCCAGAGTCCATCTGAATTTCACCTCAATTGAAACAAAAGCAAAACCAAAAACTTATGACAGCCCTTGATTTAGCTGTTGTGGAGTTTTTTCGGTAGTTGTGGTTCATTCTCCAGACAACTGTCCCCAAATTGCTAAGACAAAAAATACAAACCTATAAAGGATACACTGGAATTCTCTATCCTATTTTTGTAACTTCTTTTAATCAATCTACAATTATTTAAAAAGAGAAGTTTAAAAGAAAAATGATGTGATTGTGGCTGCTCTGTGCTTCCTACCTTCARTTCAGACTGCCTACCCTCTTATAATCCTGGGACTCATCCCAGGCAATAGACCTGGCAATTGGCCCACTGAGGTTGGGCATCTGTCCTAGCCTAGAGGCTGGGCAGGAGTCTGCTCAGAGTATATTCTCACTTTCACTTTTGCTTTCCCTGAAATGACAGAGGAATCAGGAAGGAGGTGGTAACCAACAGCTTTCTTTAGTCCCTTGGCTTTGCTGCCTGTTTGCTCTAGTTACAACCCCTGAGACCTGTGTGGTGCCACTTCCCACACAGAGACTATAGTTGTAAGCGCCAGGCCTGAAGATGAATATCCCAGAGCCTTCCATGTCGCTGGATGAGGAGATATACTCCCGGCAGCTGTGAGCCTTGAGGTGGATAGGGAGTGGGGTGGCCTTCAGACCTCTCTGATCTCTAGATGCCTGTCCTCCTACTTCCCATCCACAGGTATGTGCTGGGCCCACTTGCCATGCAGAGGATTCAGAAAGCCAAAGTCCTGCTATCTGGCCTGAAAGGCCTGGGGGCTGAGGTGGCCAAGAACCTGGTCCTGATGGGGATTGGCAGTCTCACTCTGCATGATCCCCATCCCACCTGCTGGTCTGACCTGGCTGCCCAGGTAAGGGTCCTGAGGGGCTCCAGGCTCTCAGACCAGGATGGGACCCAAGGGAAATCTCTTTGCTCATTCTGCACTGGATCTCCTTAGGTTTTCCTTTCAGAGAATGACTTGGAAAAGAACAGGGCTGATGCCTCTCAAAAACACTTGGCTCAACTCAATGAAGCTGTCCAGGTCTTTGTCCATACAGGTGACATCACGGAGGACCTACTGCTGAACTTCCAGGTAACTTCTCCAGTCCCAGTTTCTAGGCCAGTTTCCAGCTCTACTCTCAACAGAAGGGAGGCCTTGGCAGTGGTTCTGGCCTGCTGATCATGGTGTTCATCCAGGTGGTAGTGCTAACTGCCTCAAAGTTGGAGGAACAGCTGAAGGTGGGCACCTTGTGCCACAAGCATGGAATCTGCTTTGTAGTGGCTGATACCCGGGGCCTTGTGGGGTGAGTGAGATTGTCTGCCCAGCCTATACATCACAGCCAACAATTGGTCTCAGTGCTGTCCCCAATTCTAAGCTTGTTCCAGTGCCCTTCCACCCAACCTCAGGCCTGTCCCAGAACTTCCTGCAATTCTGGTCTTCAGTCCCACCCCTCTGGTTCTTCCAATCCAGCCTCCAGACCTGCCTTAGTAACAACAACAACAACAAAAAAAAAATCTAGTTTCCAAACCTCTCCCAGCATTCCTAGTATCCCCTATTCTTAACTACAACTTGTGATCCTGGCCATTTACACTAGGCAGTTATTCTGTGACTTTGGTGAGAACTTCATTGTGCAGGACCCTACAGAGTCAGAGCCCCTGACAGCTGCTATCCAGCACATCTCCCAGGTGAGTACTGAGAAGTGGGTATTTACCTGCTGTCTAGGGAATTGTTGGTTGCCAAAGCCTGTGGAAAACAGGAATAGGCACACCTGAGACAAGCCACCTTCCACCCAGGGCTCTCCTGGCATTCTCACTCTGAGAAGAGAGGATAATAGAAACTCCTTCTGTGATGGGGACTTGGTAACTTTCTCAGGCATTGAGGGCATGGTTGAACTCAATGGCTGTTCTCCCCGGCCCATCCATGTACAGGGTAAGCCAACCCCATCCCACCCTGGGCTCAATGCCCAAGACCTCATTGATAGTAAATATAGTCTGGTCCTGGGGGATAGGTTTTCCTTTCACCTTTCCCAGGGTGCAATAAGGTCTGGGACACAGAAGTCAGGATGGGATATGGAAACTACCCAGGTTCAGGGATCATAATTTACTAGGTTAGATCTCTTTCAGAGGATGGGTCCTTGGAGATTGGGGACACAACAACTTTTTCCAGTTACTTGCATGGTGGGATTATTATTGAAGTCAAGAGATCCAAGAYTGTGATACATGTAAGTGCAAGTGCATCTGAGATGGGAGTGTTCTGAAGTGTTCTAGACCTGACCCTAAACCAAGTATCCATTGCAGGAGCCCCTGAACATAGCCCTGCACCAGCCCCGGATGGTGGCTCAGAATCACCAGCAAGCCCATCGTGCCCACTGCCTACATCAGGCCTTCTGTGCACTGCACAAATTCCAGCAACTCCATGGCCGGCTGCCCCAACCCTGGGATCATGTGAGTGGTCCCACTATACCCCCTAGCCTTATTGGAGTTTCACTTGAGACCTCACCTCAGTGACAATTCACAGATTCAAGTTTGAACCCCAGAAACAATATCCCCACTTAAAAAAAATTTAAAAAAGGAAGAAGAAGCTGGGTACAGTGACAGACAGTTAAAATCCCAGTTACTTAGGAAGCTGAGGCAGGAGGATTGCAAATTCAAGGTCAGGGCTCCCCTGGCATTCTCACTCTGAGAAAAGAGGACAATAGACTCTCCTTCTGTGATGGGGACTTGATAATTTAAGGAGACCCTATCTTAAAATAAAATATAAGAAGGACTAAGGATGTAGCTCAGTGGAGAGCATCCCTGAGTTTAATCTTAGTACCAAAGGAAAAAAAAAGGAAGAGATGAAAATCACTATCTTTAAACTAGAGGCTGAGTCCACAGAAGTGCCAAGCACACAGCCTGGGGACCCCTGCTGTGTCCTAATCCATCAGAACCAAGTTGGAAGCTCCACTCAAATTGGTAAAGCCTCTTGGGCCTTTCTCTGGTGCAGGGCATCCTCTGGTTATGCTGCCCAGGCTAGAAATAGGACTAGGCCTTCGTACTTAGGCTTCTGCTTCCTCTTCTGTAGAACAGGGTGATAGCTACCTAAAGGCTTTAGGCGTGGGGGTTTCCAAGTCAGGCTGGATTGCAATGCCCATAGATTTCCACCCCACAGGCTGATGCAGAGATTGTGGTAGGTCTGGCACAGGCCCTGGAACCCCTGAAGGGCCGAGAAGAAGAGCCACTGGATGAGGCCCTACTGCGGACAATTGCCCTGAGTAGTGCTGGTGACTTGAGTCCCATGGCAGCCATTCTGGGAGCAGTGGCTGCCCAGGAAGTCCTGAAGGTGGGCACAGTCACAGGCAGGGATGAGGAAGGAGACGGGGAGGTATGTGGGTCAGTGAAACACCCAGTTACCAGACCATGGCCCTGGAGGCTTCACCAATCTAGGTACAGCCTTCAACTGTAATCTGAGGGGGTTAGAAGTTGGCAGAAACCCTTGGTGTAAAGTGCTGTCCCCTAGGCAATCTCCAGGAAGTTCATGCCCCTGGACCAGTGGCTATACTTTGACGCCCTTGATTGCCTTCCAGAAGATTCTCTTCCCAATCCTGAGGATTGTGCTCCGGTGAGTTCCTGGGGTAGGGGTGCAAACCTTGTTCAAAATCATGGCTAGGGAAGAAATGTGAAGAATGGATCTTAGGTCCTGATTCAGTGAAAGAATGAGATGCAGCATAAGCCAGCAGCCATCACTGACCACAGTCTGTGTCCTCCAGAGAGGCTGCCGTTATGATGGGCAAATCGCAGTGTTTGGGGCTGGTTTTCAGAAGAAACTGAGCCTCCAGCACTACTTCTTGGTGAGCTGTGGAATGGGGGTGGGAATGTCTTTGGGAGGCCAGGTCAGGCCCTTAGGCTAAAGTTGCTTCTACCTTCAGGTGGGCACTGGTGCCATTGGCTGTGAGCTGCTCAAAGACTTTGCTCTAGTGGGCCTAGGAGCAGGAGGCTGTGGTGGTGTGACTATTGCTGACATGGACCATGTAGAGCGCTCCAATCTCAGCCGTCAGTTTCTCTTCAGGACCCACGATGTTGGAGTAAGTGCTGGCCCCTCCCACACTCGTGTCCCAGACCGCCCTCCCATAATGTCCCATACCCAACATCTTCTTCCCTTCTTCCCAGAGGCCCAAGGCAGAGGTGGCTGCTGAAGCTGCTCAAAAACTGAACCCAGACTTACGGGTAACTCCATTCATTCGGTCACTAGATCCCACCACAGAGCACATCTTTGGGGACAACTTCTTCTCCAAAGTACATGGTGTGGTTGCTGCTCTGGACAGTTTTACAGCTCGTGAGTGCCTGATTTAGAGCTCAGCCCCTTGCCCAGGCAGGTCAGCCTCATTCCTGACCCTTTGCTCCCTTGTCAGGGCACTATGTGGCTGCTCGCTGTACCCACTATCTGAAGCCACTGTTGGAGGCAGGTACACAGGGCACCTGGGGCAGTGCTTCAGTGTTTATACCACATGTAACTGAGGTCTACAGTGGCCCTGTCTCAGCTTCAGCTTCTGAGGATGTCCCCCACCCTGTCTGTACTGGGCGATACTTCCCAAGCACAGCTGAGCACTCCCTGCAGGTGAGCACACCTCACTCCACCAAGCTCAGCTCTCAACTGCATATATGTTCCTTATCTGACACTTTATTGTCCTTCCTTCCACCACAGTGGGCTCGGAATGAATTTGAAGCACTCTTTCAACTATCTGCAAAGACCATCAACCAACAGTAAGGCCACACAGAGAGGTGGAAGAAGGTTTAGGGCTCCAAGCACAGGGCTTAGCTTCAAACTTCCTCCTTTCTCCACAGGGCACGTACTTCCCTGGCAGACATGGATAGGCAACAGATACTGACTTTACTACGGCTGGGTGTCCTAGGACAGCGCCCACAGACCTGGCAAGACTGCGTGGTGTGGGCCCTTGGTCAATGGCAATTCTGCTTCCATTATGGCATCACACAGCTACTGAAACACTTCCCACCTGATAAAGTAGGTGGCAAGGGGTTGGGTGGTCGAGGGTTCATGGGGACCAGACTCAGCCCAATAGCCTATCTTTTTCTAGGTGCTTGAGGATGGAACTCCATTCTGGTCAAGTCCCAAACAGTGTCCCCAGCCCTTGGAATTTGACGCCAACCAGGTGAGTGGGAATCCTTGGGGAGCCTTGAGATAGAGATATGGCCCTCAGAGCAGAGGAAGTCATCTCTGCATTCTGTAGAAATGCAGATTCTGATCGCCATGTTTGTGTATTTTGGGGTATCTATATGTGTGGCAAGCAGGTGCTCAAACAGATTCACAAATGGACATACATGCTCACTCATGGCCATGTCTCTGCTGCTACTCTTGGTCTTGATGCAGGATATGCACCTCCTCTATGTGCTGGCAGCTGCCAACCTATATGCTCAGATGCATGGGATTCCTGGCTCATCAGATCAAACTGCACTCAGGGAGCTGCTGAAGTTACCACAGCCTGATCCCCAGCACCTGTCCCTCATCTTCACTAATAACTTAGAGCTGACTTGGGCTTCTGCTGAGTTTGGTGAGACCCTTGGCCCTGGCCCCCATACTGTCATTAAAAGGCTTGACCCTGACTTTAGCCTATCCTATAGAAGCAAGGTAGGGCTTGAGAGCCCTATAGCCAACTTAGTATATCTCAAGCCCTCTTTCCATGCTCTCCTCTAGGCTTAGCCACATTCTCTAGCCCCTCAGTAGATCCTTTCCCTGCTGCCTACTCCATATCCCAGTTCTTTTTTTTAACACTGAAACTCTTCAAACCCAGCCTCAGCAACTTATCAAGGCCCTATGCATCTTTGTGAGACCTTGCTTCAAAATAAAAAATAAAAGGGCTCATTGGTTAAGTGCCCTTGGGTTCCATCCCTGGTATCCCCCCATGCCCCCCCCCCGAAAAAAAGAGTGTAGTAACTGGCAGACTTAGCAAAAACCAAGAATAGGCACTAGACTCCAGGAAGAGTGTAGGAGACAGGGGCTAAGGACTACCCCAACATCCCCTCTCCTCATAGGCCCTGAGATGTTGAAGAAACTGCAAGAAGCTCTGGAAGTCTGGGGCAAGTTTCCTCCCCTGAAGCCTCTGATGTTTGAGAAGGTGGGATCTTAAGTTGGTGTAAGGTATTGGGCTAGGGAAGTTGTGGGCGAAGGTGAGGAACAAAGAGGGTTGATTGAGAATCCCTGAGTTCTCTTCCAGTAGGTACCTGGAAGCAGCTCACCTTCCTTGAACCTCAGCCTCACTATGTGACAAGGGGGAGATGGTGAGCTCCTTCCTACCTACAAAACTGTGTAAAGACCTCCTGGGCCTCACTTCACACACCTGTAGTCCCAGCAACTCAAGAAGCTGAGACAGGGATCAGAAGTTTGAGGCCAGCCTGGGCAATTTAGAGAAACCCTGTCTTAATGTAAAGTAAAAAGGGCTGGGAATATAGCTCGGAATAAAGCACTTCTGGGTACTCCACAGTACTACAAAAAAATAAAACTGTGCATCTACAGTGGCACACAGTTGACCAAGGGAATGGGCACATTTTAGTATTAATGCTACTGTGATTTGGGCCTCACAGGATGACAGCAACTTTCACATGGACTTTGTGACAGCCGCAGCCAGCCTTCGATGTCAAAACTATGGGATCATACCAGTCAACTGTTCTCAGGTAACCGGACCCCTTAGGGCTCAGTCCTGGAAGTAGAGGCTAAACTTTAGCTCTAAAGCTTATTTTCTAACCAAATCTCCTGTCCTTAACAGAGCAAACGAATTGTGGGCCAGATTATACCAGCCATTGCCACCACTATAGCAGCTGTGGCAGGTCTGGTGGGCCTGGAACTGTATAAGGTAGTGTATGGGGAACGGCCCCTTAGTGCCTTTCGTCATAGCTATCTGCACCTGGCTGAAAACAACTTCATGCGTTGGGTGCCTTCTGCTCCAGCTACCCAGATGGTGAGTCCTTGATATCTTACCCTTACCCCTGCTAATTTTGGGCTTTCCTGCATCTTCCCAAACAGGCCCTACTCTAGCTGTGGCCTCACTCCAGAACCCAGACTGTGGAGGAGTTCTCAAGACTCCCTCCAGCCCCCTTCCTGCTATGAAGCCAGGCTGAGACCTGTCAGACACAGGAAGCAGCCATCAGCCTTTCCTCCCACCCCACTCCAATCCAGGGTCTGGGGGGGGTGCAGCTTTAACTCATTAGTGGAGCCAGACATCCTCACAACCTCCTCCTTCCCAGAAGTTTTCCTGAGGGGGTAGATAGTGAGGAGGGGGAATTTGTAGGTAAGGGGAATCATGGCCCCACCYCTAGAAAGATGTAGGGCCCTGGCCTGCCCCCTCCAAGGTGAATTAAAGGGCACTAGATTTGCCACTAGCAATGTGGAACAACAGCCCTGTGTGTGTGATTGTCACAGATGTGAGTGCACCAAAGTCTGGGCATCCCTGGTGTGTAGGTGTGAAGGGAGAAAGCTTGCACATCTGTGAGCCAGATGGGAATGCAAGGCTCTCCTCGATGTGGACATGCATGGATGTGTATGTGGGTATACATGTGGGTGTTCCTGGGCTTGTGTGCATATGTTCCTGTGAGTGCAGGACAGGGACTATCTCCAAATTGTRTGCCCAGACTTTGTAGTAGTGGTATTTCCTTGGGGCATAAGAAAGAGGATAGAGGGAATGCTGTTGTCAGGGGAAAAGCCAAAGGTCAAAGGTCACTGGCAAAGGCCCTAGCCTTTGCCAAGCAGCCCTAGGGTCCCTCTGGACACAACACGTAGAGCCCTTTAGTAAGACACCCCACCTCTAACCAGCACACAGGCTGCTTTGTCTGTGGAATGGAGGAAGAGTCTCTAACCTAGTCTCATCTTGACCCCAGTATGTTTTCTTAGGGGCTGGCAAGGTCCCCCATCCTAGACTCTGGCTGTCCGCCACTCTTCTGTCCTCAACTCTAGGCATCAGAAACTCAACTGGACAGGAACAGGAGGCTTCTATAGACTGTGTCTCTGCTGGGATCTCTGGGCCAGTAGGGCTCCAGTAGACACTGTACTATGGCCTCCTGTGTGCCTAAAACTAGTCAAAGGCTCTAAAAGTAAGGATGAGGGAATAGAATGTATCCTCCCGCTCCTAGCCTTGCATTTGAGGAACAAGCAGCTTTATCAGAGACTCCAGTAGCCTAGCTCTGGCTTCCTCAGGAAGCACCACCCCTTTAGTCCCCCTCAACTGGCCTGTATGATGGATCAGTCTGTTTCCCTGTGTGGGCCCCATAGCCCCATTTCCTGTGCTGGCCTCAGCCTGGGCAGGGAGGGGGCTGAGACTCTGGGCCCAGATCCCACCCTCTGCTCCCCCCCCTCACTTCCTGCTTCTAGTCTAGCTCCTCCCCTAGAAAAGGCTGCTAGTAACTGGGACAGGGGTTATCCATTTAGTGAAAACTCTCACTCATCCTCACCCCCACCCCCTAGTTCAATTGCCTGAAGTGGACTTCTTGGTCCCGCTTGAAGGTGCCTGCTGGACAGCCTGAGAGGACACTGGAGTCACTGCTGGCCCATCTCCAGGTGTGCCCTGACCCCACCCTGCCCCCAAGTCCAACCCAGCCTGGCCCAGTGGGTATCTGACCTGTATCTGTCTAGGAACAATATGGACTAAGGGTAAGGATGCTTCTGTATGACCAAGCCCTGCTCTATTCGGCACGATGGTCATCTCAAAAGCAGGCCCAGCGCCTGTCCCTCAGGTGAGCCCACAGCCAGCTCTAGCTAGGCCCTGCTTKCCCCTGGAGGTTGAGGATGGGGTACACACAGCCTTTCTTTTTCCTAACCCCATTCTAGGCCCCTCACACCTTTCTGAAGCATTCTTTCACCAAATGGGGCAAGCAAATGGACTGGGGGCAGGGCGAGAGCCTAAGGAGGGGCCTTTGGGAGCTCTCTTAGCCAGCTCCACCAGCCCCCAACCCTCTCTGCTCAGCTGCCCTTTCACAGCCCCACTCCCAGGGGACCTACAGCTTCCTGCCTCTTRCCCGCCCCACCAGCTGCTCCTAAAATAGTTTCAGATGTTTCCTGTCTTGAGCTGCTCCTGCTTGTGGTCTGGGCTCCTGAAGGCTCTGTAGCACCCTCTAGTCCATGCCAAGTTATCCTCTGTCTACCTCAGCTCACCTGCCCAATCTCCCCTAACCTGCCTCCCCCCCCATACCAGGGTGACAGAACTGGTTCAGCAGGTGACCGGCCAGGTGCCTGAACCTGGACTTCAGGTACTAGTACTGGAGCTGAGCTGTGAGGGTGAGGAAGAAGAAATGGCCTTACCACTTCTGCACTACAAATTGTAACAAGGCAGCCACTGCCCTACCACTTGGCTCTATGGAGATCTGCCCAAAAGCCCTKCATCTTGATCCCACAGCAGACACATAATAAATGCTTGTTGAAGGAAGGCATAGTGGAAAACATGGATGACAGAACACAGGGCAATAAATCACATGGGCAAGTGACACGGGCAAGACAACACTCTGTAAGAGTGAGGAAAGGGCTTTAGATTTGCCTCCCCCGACTGTGCCTCACAAGGCTGGGACCACCTCCTCAAKCCTCAGGGGTATGGAACCAACAGTCTAGAAAAAGGCCTTTATTGTCCCAGGCTAGAAGGCAGGGTCAGAGATAACTGACATCATTGTAAATGATGGGCTGGCGACTGCGGCAGCTCATGAGGGCTGCAAAGCGTGATAGGTCCGCAGGCAGTTCAGATTCTGCGTGAGGTGGGCATGACAGCCGCTTTCCTGCCATAGCTGCCCTACGAGCCCTGGACAGCCTGCGCCGCAACTGCTCAGAGAGACCAAGCAGAAATTGGGGGGGTCGAGCTCGGGCACGGGGTATGCCTCCATCACTCCCCTCACTTGCTGCCTCAGGCAGCTCCATCCAGTTGTGAACTAAGTCAGCAAAACAGTTGTCCCCCAGCACCAGGGGCTGGCGACTACGTCCCCTGTTCAGCAGGGCTGCTGTCCAGTCCTCTGCTTCCAATCCCTGCCAGTGCTCCAGGCAGGCGTCTGGAGTAGACTTGGGCCGTGGACGGTGGTGGGCAGGTGGTATGCTGGCTACAGATGCCCTGTTAAGCAGGGGGAGATCACTGACTGAGAGGCGCTGGGTATGAGGGAGCCGTCCTGGGAGTGTAGGGCGCGGGAGTACAGAAAGCTCTTCCTCTCGCCATGTGCTGCCTGACACTTCTGAGAAGCCAGAGTCCCAGTCTAGGGCATGCTCCCTTGGGCCCCTCAAGGCTGCACCCCTATCTTCTGCCACCAAGGCTTCCTCCTCCTCTTCCTCTTCCACACAGCAGACAGAATCCTCTTCCAAGGCATTTGAAGCCCTAAGTTGATGGCCAGACTGCACACCAGGATCAGTTTTAGGGGGTGGCTGCAAGGGGCCAGGCATAGGGGATGAGCCTGTATCCCGACCGCACAACTGAAGGGGAAGAAAGGGTACAAGTCATAGGGGTATCATTTGTCACCCCTGCCTGCCTGGCCAGGCCAGCCATGAAAATAAAGCATCCAAGAGGGCTTGATAGGTGTGCTGGCCTGGGCAACAAGGCAGAAAGTGAGCACAGGGCTGGCATGGGGGCACAGAAACACGAAGCTCGTGTGGCTTCCATTGCAGACCTGGTGGCAGTCTGGCAGGCTGCAGCACGCAGAGCTGGACAAGTCGGCACCCGCCACTGGGGCGGGCCGGCAGGGTTGTGGGCCTGCATCGGGAAGTAAGTCCTGCCCAGGGTCTGGAGGGGAGGCATCCCGTGCCTTTTGGATGATGCATATCCCCAAAGCGTCTTTCAAAGAAAGACTTGGTGCTTTCTAAGTGAGGGGTGGAGGAACAAGGTACAGGTCAGAGGTAGGGGGCGTCCACAGCAACGCCGGAACCTCTTTAGATCCTTGGCGCCTCTGCCCCACCTCAAAAGAAGTCCTCCTCACTATCCTCCTCCCCCGCTGCCCAGCGGCACAGCCAGCGGGGCGGCTGTTACCTGATGCCCAGAACAGCTCTCAACTGTCCAGAAACTCAAGGCGGGCCATCTGGGCCAGCTACACTGCACCGCCCCGCCCCGCCCCCATCCCTCCTGGATGGGCACCCGAACGACCCCGCACGCGTTTGTTTTCCTGGCAGGGCGGCAGCTGGGCACCCCACATAGGTCCTCACGACCACGCCCACTCCCAAGCCTCACCAGTTCCCAGCGGAGCTGGCTCAGGAAGCTGTCAAGTCGAGCGCTGTGCATGTCGGTGCCGGAGCTCCCGCCAGCCCTGCCAATTCCTCCTCGACTCCCAGCAGGAGCGACGCGGAGAAGGCTCGGGTGGCCAGCCAGCGGCGCCCTCGCCCTGCGCCTTGCTAAGAGAATCCTCACACTGCTGAACTCCCGCCGCCACCGCCGCCCCAACATCTGGCAGCCACGCCCCGCCCCCGGCGCCGCAGCCAATGGGGGCGGGGCGAAGTTGAAGCGGCCCCGCCCCCGAAGCCTGGCGGGATGAGTGAATTGGGCGTCCCGTTTCTGCACTAGCTCTGCGGGGAGGGGAGAGGCTGTAATTGGAAACTGGACAGTGCCCATTCCGCTACCCCTGATGCCTTGGAAGGTTTAGCTAACCCTGTGTTCGTTGCGTAACGAAGTATAGGTCCTTTCCCCAGGGTGGTCTCCCCTTCCCCATATGTTCTCTCGTGAAATAGCAGTCCCTCCCACCAGGGCCTCGTGGGGCGACCACAAGTGAGCAGAGGGCCAGATCCTTGTACTCGACAATGTTGTGGCCCATTAGGGGTATGACCTGTTCCTTAGGCTGGCCTCGACAATCCCTGGAAATGACAGGAGCGAGGTTCGGCCCCTCTGAGTACTCAGGGATTGCAGGACTTCATAGCAGCGTAAAGAACCAGGCTTCAGAAATCCCACCTCAGTGCGGTCCCGCTTTGTGTTGTGCTAGGTTTGATCGCCCTCTAGTGGGGAGCGCGCGCCTAGCTTCAAGTTCAGAAGCGACTTCAGACCATCCGCAAGCCCTGTGACTGTCACCGTGTAAAGACTGAGGGAGACAGTGAGAATGATCAGAAACCTGTCCGCTGAGATTACTYCATAATCAGAGGCTAAATTCAAGGGTATAGTGTAACAGGAAACCGACTGTACCTGTCAGCAGACAGGAAAATATGGGGCAATGGAGTAGTCTGAAGAAGAGGTCTCTCAGAGCAGTGACATCAGGGTGCAACCTTAGTCATTGTGAGGAGGTCAAGAAGACAGGCATTCTAGCCGGTAGGGGTGGCATTCCTCTCCAGTCCTGACTACTTGGGATGCTGAGGCAAGAGGGTGGCAAGTTGGAGGCCAGCCTGGGCAACTTAGTGAGACTGTATCTCAAAATAAGATTTTAAATAAGATTTTTAAAAGAGCTGAGGTTGTAGCTCAGTAATAGAGGGAGAACAAGTTCTTTTGTAGTGAATGACCTGGACTGGTTCCTGTTTGATAATATCAGCTGCTTTGGGAGAACAACTCTGTAATAAGAGTGGAGGCTCCTGCCTTCATCAAGGCAAGAAAGGTGAAGTCTTGGGATGGTGCACAGCAGGTAGATAGAAGAGGACCACTTTAGGGTATGTTTTGTAGCTAAAATTAAGCCTCTTTCTTTCTTTCTTTCTTTCTTTTTTTTTTTTGCACTGGGGATTGAACCCAGGGTACTATACCACTGAGTTACATCCACAGTCCTTTTCATTTTTCACTTTGAGGCAAGATCTTGTTAAGTTCAAGCTGGCCTGGAATTAGCAGTCCTCCTGCCTCCTGCCTCAACCTACCAAATAGCTGGGATTACAGTTGTGCACCACTGTGCCCAGTCTCCAGTGGCGCAATAGGTCTGAACAAGACTTGGGACATGAATTAGACAGAGATGGTAAACAGTGAAGACTATGCCCTGGAACAACCCACTGGATAGAGGTAGGGGAGACGAAACAGAACCAGCAAAGGAGCTGAGCAAGAGTAGTTGGGACGTGGGAGAAACCTGAAAGAATATGGAGATTTAGGATCCAAAGGGAGCAAACATCAAACTCTGGAGAATGTGAGGATGGAGAACAAACTGCTGGCTACAGAGCTGAGTACTGTGGCATGTGCCTATAGTCCCAGTTACTCAGGAAGCTGAGGCAGGAGGATCAGATAACTTAAGCCCAGAAATTCAAGTACAGGCATGTGCCACCACGCCCAGCATGAAGAAAACTGTTTTTAAAAACTAGCATAGAAAGGGGCTGGGATTGTGACTCAGTGGTAAAGCTCTTGCCTAGGATGTGTGAAACACTGGGTTCCATCCTCAGCACCACATAAAAAAAATAAACAAAAACTAGCATAGAATGTAAATATGTTAAATGGGAAAATTTCAAAGATAGAGTTCTGTAGATACTCATCCAACTGACAGTAAGATCAATATATAGGATATCCTGACCAGACACAGTGGTGCATGCCTGTAATCCCAGCAACTCAGGAGGCTGAGGAAGGGGGGTTGCAAGTTTGAGACCAGCCTCAGCAATTTAGTAAGGCCTTAAGTAACTTAGAAAGACCCTGACTCAGGTTGGGATTGTGGCTCAGCTGTAGAGTACTCCCCTATCACGGGTGGGACCCGGGGTTCGATCCTCAGCACCACATAAAATAAATAAATAAATAAAGGCATTGTGTTGTGTCCATCTACACCAAAAAGATATTTAAAAAAAAAGGAAGACCCTGTCTCAAAATAAAAATGTAAAAGGACTGGGGATGCAGCTCAATAGTAAAGTGCCATTGGGCTCAATCCCTAGTACCAAAATTAATTAATTAGTTAATTATTTTTTTAAAAAATATAGCATGCCAGGTGCAGTGGTGCATGCCTATAATCCCAGCAATTCAGGAGGCTGAGGCAGGAGGACCACGAGTTCAAAGCCAGCCTCAGCAAAAGCAAGGTGCTAAGCAACTCAGTGAGTCCTGTCTCTAAATAAAATTCAAAATAGGGGTGGGATATGGCTCAGTGGTTGAGTGCCCCTGAGTTCAATCCCTAGTATCAAAATAAATAAATAAATAAATAATTTAAAAATATAGTACATCCTTAGCCATTCCAATCCAGGAAGCTACCTTGTGTCCCCTCCAGTTGATATTCCCATAGGTAACTACTACTTTTCTATCTACAATCAAGGATTTCTTTTGCTTGTTGAACATAGACAACTATTGAGAGATTCTGTGGATGACTGAACTGAGATTTTTGAAGACACTTTAATGATGTGGAGGGGGGAGTTTGTGGGGTAACTAGATTTGGGTTCAGTTTTCCTGAATGCTGTGCTTTCTCTGTCTCCAAGAACAGCGGGGCCAGTTTCACCACCTGTATCACATCCTCTTAGGGTTGTGATAATGAATGGGGGAATTCACTGGGAAACAGTGGAAAATGGGATTTTCCAGGCCTCTGGAGGCCT